CGAGGCACAATCTCCAACAAACCGGTAAGCCCTTTCAAATATTTTTTGACCTCATCTTGCCCTTCTCCTCCTAAGTCGTTCCACCACAGACGCAACTCCAAAGGGATTTTATGCATGATTGAAAAAGATTCATTTTGAGTCGTGCTCATCCTGCACATCTATTAAGGTGATTTAATCACTTATTTGACCTAACAATGAAAAATGACACTATTTTTTGTTCAAATTTCCAATTTAAAACAAATGACCGGTTTTGCAAGTACAACCTTTCAGCACTTCGGGGAGAAGATTTTAAGGCTGTGCCTGCTAACCGTTGAACTGACTCAAGGTGGCTGTTCTTGCAAAAACAGCCTTCCGGCACCCGTTTGGGACATTCGGCTTATTTTAAACAAGAATGGTGGCACCCGACTTATTCATGACGAAATTAAAAATTTGGCATTTTTGGCAATTTTTAAAAAGTGGAGGTTGGACCCGATGAGGGTTGCCTACGTATCTCACATCCGGTGAGAATCAAACATGCGTAGTTCGGGCAAATAAACCTAACTATTTTTGAAAACAAGACTCTTTTTTATGTTTTGTTGGCACTTTTTCTGAAAGCAAAATTCTCTTTTTTTTTTATATTTTCTATTTCAGTGGCAAATAAACAAACTAATTTGACAATAAAACTCTTTTTGTTTTTCCATTGGCAAACAAAACAAACTAACAAAGAACTTTTTGTTATGAAACAATAAAAGAAGAAAAAGAGTATTGCAGAGCAAAGTAGAGAGAGAGAATTCTTATTGATATTGGCATGAATTACAATGGAATAGAACCCTCTATTTATAGGGAGAGAGTGACTTAGCCACCAAGTAATAAACCCTAGAATCTCTCTAAATATAGGCATTCACCATAAATACAATTCTATTTATAACACTCCCCTTTGAATATCTATTCAACAGATAATGTGCCTCGTTAAAACCTTAACTAAAAGAAAACCCAATGGGAAAACATTCTAGAAAAGGAAAAAGAGTACACATATCTAATAATACGCCTTTTGGTTGCCTCGTTAAAAACCTTGCAAGGAAAACCCAGTGGGACAAAACCTTGTAAGGGAAAAAGAGTACAACGCATATTAACTCCCCCTGATGAGAGCATCAATTCACATCCTTAAGCATTTGCATTCCAATCTTGTGCACCATCTTCAAAAGATCTTTGGTAGAGATTTGATGAACAAATCAGACATATTAACTTGAATGAATATATTGCACCTTGAAATCATCATTCTTGATAGAGATGAATTGTCTTCATATGATCTTGTTGGAATCGTCAGTTCAATATCTTCACACAAAGGTGAAAACTCTTGCTATCATTTTATCATGCATATAATTATAGCAAGATACATTTGTGCACAAATTGCACTGAGGATGTAGTACTTCATGACCATGAATTCTATATGCTTTAAGCAATTTAAATCCTTCAGGGATTATTAAGTCATATAAGCCATATAATAGATGCATATCAAGTTTTCATGTCATGCTAAAACTGATTGCACATACCATTGACTTTATACTTTCAAGTGTTTGAACTACATGTTCAAATACTTGTCTTTCATATGAAACCAATTCTATTTGAATTGGGTCTCTTCTATTTGGCCAATATTTTTGTGTCTGTATTCGACATACTTGAGGTCTTCATCTATACTTAGCGCTATGATAGATGTCGTCGACGAACATTTTATATCGGTTCCAATATTTTTTTTCATATAGACATAACATAGATATCTCTTCATTCATATATTTAGGTACCTGAATCTCTCATAAGATTTTATGAAGTGTTATGTCATGTGATCTTCTAGATCACTTGCCTCCTTTATTGTGATCATTTTGATCATTTGCTCATCTTCTTTATCAAGAAGTTTATATGAAACCGATTTGTCTATACGCTTTAAGCGTACCATAGACTTTGTCCTTCTAGGACTTATTCTAACAGGAACATTTGCAGTGAGAATATAGTCACTTTCTTTGGGTCAGCAAATGCGTCTGGCATGCTTTGCAATATATTGCAAATAAATTATCCTTTTATGAACTTCAAGTTCATATTAGTTTATTCGAGGATCTAGATGTATAAATGATAATTCATTCCACGTAACTTTTTCTCAACTGTTTTATCTTGTCTCCCCATCATGTTAGAAAAACTAGCTTGTTTCCTCAACTTTGAGAATCCATCTTGGTGCGTTATGGTGTTAATCAAAATATACACCGCACATCAATAATAATAAGATGGAATTATTTGGTTCCTGACCCCGAACCACTTGTGAAGGGAGAAAATAATATACTTTGGTATATTACGTATATCAAATTGATATAGATAACTTTGTTCTCATAAGTAATTATTTAGCTATTAAGTGGAGGCACTCAATAAATTATTTTGCTAAATCAACTGTGATATAAACCAACTTATCAAGATGAACTTCTTGAACAGAAAATCTAAAAATTATGCTCGAAATTAAATTACTGAGCAAGTTACCTCGCAAACACCAGCCAGGTTGCGGGTTAATAATAATCGCACATGTAACCATCTCATAGATGCATCTTATGTGGTATACATAGCAGGTGAATGGGCCGATATTCACCTTTGATATTTCCAGCATTCATGGGATTCAATCCTAATTTTAGTTGGTATAGTAATTAATGAGAACAGGCAACATGAGAGAATTCGTAAAGAACTTTCTAGTTCTTTAATATTTACCCATGTGAATTCTCTTTTATTTTTGCACATCATGCTTAAATTGATATGGCTAAACTGATTATGCCAACTGAATAAATTATCAATATTGATAAACTTCAGGTTTACACCATGATGTGTGCAATTATAAATAAACTCCAAGTTTATTATGATATGGGTTTTTATATCAATAAACTTCTCTTTATTGTGGCATTCTTTTGTTTGTGTAGTACAAACCGGAGAATAAAGCGGGTAACTTTTTACATACATATTACCCCGCTACAAGTTGTAGTAATAGAAGATATTAAATCTTTCCTTTATTTATAGTCTCAATATAACAAACCGCTTTCGCGAATACTTTAGAAACTCAATAAGTTTCTTTGAGACTTACTACAACACAATATCTTATTGATAATTAATTGTGTTTCTCCAAAATAGCAATAATTGGCTCTTGCAGAGCTCTCAATTAATTTGGTAGTATCACATATTCATCAAAATTCATATGGTGAATATCTCTTTTAAAGAGAAAGTTATACCATCATGGTTATGGTCAAAATTATATGCAGGATATGTTTCTTGCATTACCGTTGTCTTTTAATAATCATAATGCCAAAATATTTTGGCGTACAATAGGTACGTGACCAATGACCATTCATGCCATAATAATGATATTNACTTTTATACACTCTGATACTATATATATATATATATATATATATATATATATATATATATAGTGTACAATTTACTTGAGAGTTACAAGATATTAAATGAGTGTAATAAACATATTCATGTATAATGCAAAATTGTTGGACATTCACAAATTCAATGTATTCATAACATTCTGGGCCGGCTCTAATGCACAAGCCACTAAGGCAAGTGCTTTAGGCTTCCAATTTTTGAGGGCCCCATTTTTCAATAATAGTTACTAATTGAAGGACTTTTTCTAGCCGATATACATAGATTATACATTAATTATATACAATTTTATATATATATATATATATATATATATATATATATACACCGTCTATTTTTAGTTTAAGAGATTAGGTGGGCGACTATTTGGGTTAATTCTTCTTTGTTTTCTTTAAAAAATATTGAATTAAGATAAAAATTATAAAAAGGCCTCATATTAATATTTGGCTTTAGGCCACAAAATATATCGAGCCGCCCTGATAACATTGCCAAAATAATAGAGCATTTTTTATTTGTTATGACTATGCATGTCCAAGACACCAACCAAACCTAAAAAATCACATTGTAAAATTTGATAAATTTTTTAATGGGTTAATTGTGGTTACACGTAATGCTCCAATTAATGGGTTTCTTACACAAATATATACATAGCTTTTTGTCAAAATTGCACTCAGTTTATCCTCTAAAAGGCTGTAATAACACAGCAGCCCAAAAGATTTTGCAAGGCGGCATTTGAATACCAAATGAAAAGCACTTTTTATGTGCGAATTAAATAGATGGAGGAAATTTTATATTAAAATAAAAACTTGAAAACTTTGAAAGAAGAGCGCTGACACCTAAGTAAAAGCTTCTATTGCTGAAAAAGTAGTTTAAAGCTTCTCATTAGTGTCCAAATTATACTGCAGTAAACACTATTATGGTGCTAATAATCAATTAGATGTGCAATTGGTCTACAGTTTGGTATATAATATGTGATAATTGGAATTAAGAACCAATAATGTATTACATAAACAATTTGTATTATAAGAGGGTATTCTCGTCCATTACAGATAGATAACTAGCAAAAAGAGATACGAATTTACAAAAATGCATATTGGTATACACAGAGCAGTCGGTAAAAACTTACCCGCACCAGGTGTTTACACCAAACCAATAGATGTATGACATGTGTCTTGCATATGGACTTCAATCATTTAACCATGGTAAATTACATGCATTCTCATCTAATTAAATTAATTAACCATAGTGAGTTAATATAGTTTGGTGTAAACACCCGGTGTGGGTAAGTATTTACTCAGAGCAGTCCGTCCTAATATTGAATTGTTGATTATCTCTTCTTGAAGGGAAGTGTTAAATCACGAAAGTAATGGTTCAATATAACCTTTTACAATTTGAAATAAAAAAATACGATGTTTTATTTTCATATCTTTTACGTATAAAAATAACTATTTTAAAAAAATTTGACATTAATTTAAAAATATATATAATAAGATATTATAAAATGTAACTACTAAAATATGAGGTATAAGACATCTTATCGCAAAACAATAATGCCTCCTTAAAAGATATTAAATCCAACATTCAAACCACTAATAACGAACTTAATCCAAGAAAGAAATAGTACTAGTAATCAAGAACATTTACATAGTTTAAAACCAGAAAAGCATAAATCCCATAGTAAAACTACAAATAATTTAACGTGCAGTACTTCATTTGGATTCAGGTATTGAACCAATCCATGCAGGAGGCTGCATCCCAGTTTGCTCTTGCACAGTTTGAAGCAGAGGAGGCAACATTCGGTACACACCAGCTACATCCTTCAATCCGCTTCCTTCTCCATTGCTTTCGCCGCCATTAGCACCTGACCAAATGCTTATCTTTGGCTGCAAACCGTTCACTGCTTGAGCATTGGTCTTTGCGATTTCCTGGAAAATTCCATTGTTGATCATCAAATAGTCTCTGAGTGATGAGTAATTCTTCACTTCCTTAAGAAGGGATCCTAAGTAAAATGCTTGTGCTTCCCCAATTGCTGCTACTCCTTCGGCTTCCTTTTGCTTTGCAAAGAGCTCACTGTTTGCAACCTGTTGGCGACTATACAGTTCAGCATCTGCGGTTGCTTTCTGTGCTTCTGCTTTCTTCTGGTTCTCGAATAGTGCGGCTTCTGCTTCTTTCTGTCTCCTGTATAATTCTGAGTTTGCCTCTTGCACCTGTTTATATTAAGAGGTTAGAAACAAAATTAAAATGATAATTTGATTTGAAGCTCATTCATTTATTCCTATATACACGTTCACATATGAGAGAAGGGTAAAATTTACCACGTAATCATACTAATTTCCTATGATTAAATGTTAAATTAACAATGTATTTCATTAACTATAATGCAGTGATAACTATATTTATGAACAAATATGTCATCTATTTATTGGTTTGATATAAATATCCGGTGTGGATAAGTATCAATATTTTCATAATTCAATTTTGAGTCTCAATTAGAACAATGACTTAATTTTAGATTATCAGAAACTACAAAAAGTACTACGTTGATATAATTTAAACAACATATAAAGTATACTTTAGCCCACGAAAAAAATATATTTGATTATGAGGAAGCATAACAAGTCTATTTAAAAAGGGTGGTAAATATTGAGGGTGTCTGAGCTCCCCCAACTATCAGGCAGATTTATTAAAATTAGAAGCAAAACTCTCTTTCAGCAGCCAAAATAATTACTCCACTCCGCAGTACTTACTAGACACATAAGGTACAATAATTACTGTAACAAACTAACAGGCATGCTTGGAAAAATAAAGAGGCCACAGTAAAATCTAAACGGGAGTTTCTTGTGCCTTAGGATTATGTACATAAGGTACAATTATAGTATTGTTTGACAATACAATAATATATATAACTGCAGTAGCGGAGCTAAGATTTTTATTAAGGATTATCAAAATTTAGAGAAATAAATACACGAAGAAGTCAAGGGGATTGAATACATAGTATATATAGATAAAAAAAAAAAAATTTGTTATCTAAATAATGTACTTTTTCTACGAAGGGAAGCTATGTGGCTCCACCATTATACATAAGGTACAATAATTACTGTCACATGCATGCGGGGCAAATTAATTAAAGGGCGTACAAACTACAAATATAACCTCACAATCAAAAGCATAATGAATTAAGAAGAGTACGTAAATATGTATTCAACACTAATAGCCTTGGTAATTAGCATAACAAAATGTAAGAAGAAAAAAAGAAGTACCTTAATGTCGTATTCAACATTAGCCTTGCTGAGAAGATCAGCCTTGAGTTTTGCAGTCTGAGCAAGAGCTTTCTTCTTCTCCACTTCCATTTGTAGCTCAGCTTCTCTTATTGCCACAGCCTTTTCTGCTTCCACCTCAGCCAATCTTGCAGTCTGAGACCATCCAGCTTTCTTCCTTGCCAATTCCGCACTTGCCTCAACAACCTCTGCTTCTCTTTGATTCTTAAATATCTCTACTTCAGTCCTTACTCTAACTTCTTCCTTTTTACCTTCTCCTTGCCTTTTTGTTGATATGATCATTGTCTCTGCATCTATCTTAGCTGCATTCTGCTTTGTCTCTCCATCTCTTTGCTTTGAACCTATCTCTCCTTTCATCCTTGCCTCGGCTACATCAATCTATCAAGAAGACAAAGCAAAAACAAGAATCAATTAGAAGCACTTAATAAAGATTGGCATGCATGCTGATACACTGAGGGGTCGTTGAGTTTATGTACTAGATATACACGAATTATAATGAGGAGATGGTTTATGCAATGAATAATAAGGTGAAGTTTGTTATATAGTAAATATTTCCTTCAGTCCGCTTTAATTGATTTTCTTGCTGTTTTCACACATATTAAGGAATTCACCTTTTAACAATTAACAATGAAATGACCATATTAACCTTTACTTTGTTCAGAAATTCTGAGACTCTTTACTCCAAGGGCAACTTTGAAAAAATAAAGTTACTTGCTTTTTGATATTTTAAAAAATTAAATACTATGGACCACCAAAAGGCCAAAATAATTAAATTGGACCATAAAGAGTACAATGTTACATGAGCCCCCATGAACCCTTAGCCTGGATTTTGTGAATTTTGGGTAGTACAACTTTTCATAGTTTCTCCTTAATGATCATGCACAAAAGTTTCGTATGCCAAATTCAATTTGTAAACTTTTGCACATCAATGATAGTGGAACCTCCTTTATAAATAAAATAATACTAATATAGTCATTGTTATGCAAAAATTACTTACTTTGATGACTTGCATTTGTATTTAATTACTTTTATATACGTATTAGCAATGCATGTAATATTCTTATTCCACCATTCAACCTTTCACATCATATATTAAAAGAAACAAAAGCAAAAGTAAATTTGGAGTAACAAAGATTGACATGCATGTAGATCAATCAATGGAATGAAATTATATGCATAGACAATGTAGAATCTTTTATACCATCACTAACATATTTTAACGAGTTATAGCAGGTTGTTTATTTCATTTATTAATTACCAAATTAGATTTATTACAAGATTTACTGATTTCCTCAATCAGCGCATAATTAAGAAGAAATTAAAATAGTGTTACCTTGGCTTGGTTGGCGGCTTCCATCTGAGTCTTTTGGCCAAGGTAAGAGAAGTACTCATGGCCAGGAACATCAACAAGTTGTTTAACATTAGCATTATAAATATAAAGTCCAAATTGATTGAGTTCAAGTTGGACTTTCTCAAAAACTTCTTTCTTAAACTCTTTTGTTCCCTTGAAAATCTGTTCCATAGTCATAGAAGCAGCAAGAACACGAGTTTCCCCCTCGATAATTCCCTTGACGAGTTCTTTAACGTGATTTGAATTCTTATCATGATTGGACACAAGCTGTGCGTACTTGATCAAGCTCTCGTTATCTTCGTCGAGTTTAGGGCCAATTGTGAAAACAGCAGGAAGAACAAAAGGGAGTTTTTCGGCGCTCATAGCTTGTACCTCGAACGAGTAGTTGACAGGAGATATGTCAAGCTTAGTGCATTTTTGAAGGGGCCATAAAAAATGCTTTTTCTTGAGTTTTATTTCACTTATGCCACTTCCGGTAATGGCAAGCATCTCCGATGGACCAGCGACAATATAATGTGGAATCCCCATACTCAATTTGAGAGAAGAAACTTTGATAGATGATTACTAGGGCGAGTATTGACGAGGATGCAAATAATATATAGGAGTAGTTATTACTGACCTAAACAAAATCAAATTATATAGAGGAGTCGTAAATCTTGCAATGCGAAATAACGTAGGAAGGTGCTAGTAGTGGAGCAGTCCTAGTGAAGCACTGATTATACTGGGGCAGAGGCGGTTATGTAATGTACGAAAAAAGTGGACAAGATCAAGCCACTTCGTTAGAATTATAAGGCGAATAGGTCTGTCGTTTCACTGGAAATTTCATGCTGTTCCTTCATGTGTCCCGTGGCTCTATCGTGAGGGCGCAATCCGAGTCCCACTCTATTTTGGAGTATATGATGTATAGATTTCTTGAGACTTGACAATTTGTGAAACAAAAGGAGTCCAAATTTATTTGACTTGATTCCGACTTCAATTATCATTTCGTAAGTGTATACGGTGGAAATCGGGCTACCCGATTTTGTTCTTCGATGGAAAAAATGATATCACGTCGAGCTCGGGGTCGAAGTTCCTTTCCAAGGTCGAGGTCGATATCACTTACCGGGGTCAGAAGAAGGCATGTTTCGGGATGATGCCGTTATGATTCAGTAAAACAAAGAGCGAGATATCCGCAACGGGCCGGAGATCACGGCATGGATTTCGAAATGGATTGGTCTTCGGCAGTTAAACAGTTGTCAAATATGATTTCCTACTATAATTAGAAGTGTACCTTATTTAGGACTCCCCTATTATATAAAGAGGGATCCCATTCATTTGTAAGGACATTGTTCACTGATAAGAAATATACGCACGTTACTCTCTTGCTATTTCACTTACTGTTCATCGGAGTTATTTTATCATTTGTTATTCCCATTATCATACCTCGAGATTATCACAGATCGATGTCGAGATTTAGCTTACACACAGGTTTGATCTATTTTATTCTTTAATTTATCTATTTAATTCCTTGTTTTTCAATTGGTATTGAATCAAGTCGCATATCCTTAAAACCAAAATATAAGTTTAATTATTACTCGAATTTTGAGGGTAAACAGTTTGGCGCCCACCGTGGGGCTAAGGATAATAGTGATGGTTTCAGTGCTGATTCTGATAACACTTGTTATTTTCACACTTGTCCTTGTCAAGTATTTTTGCTCTCGGGTTAAAGCATGTCAAACTCACAAAACGCACCCGTACATGGTGATGATGGTCTCGGATTTCACGGGAAAAACGACAATGTAATTGCTCCAAGAGCCGGGGTGCCACCAGCTAATCTCGGGGGAGCACCGGTCGCTGATCCAGTCGATATCAGTTCGCACGTTGCTCTAAATGCGGATCTAGGCGCGGACCCCGAAGGGAGTGTACACAGGGAAGGCCGACCTGGTGGCCAAGATACACAGGGCAGAGAAGACGGGGGAGTTAGCCTCCAGGTAATATTCGAGATGCTACAGGCTCAGCAGGCCGCTATTGCTCAATTGTAAAATCAACATAGGACTCCAAGTGTGGTCGAGCCAGAAATCACTCGTTGCACCGAGCCAGTGCTAGAAAGGTCAAATAGTAACGAATCAAGGACTGATCCTGCAATAATGAAAATGCTCGAGGAGCTCACCAAAAGAATTGAGTCGGGAGAAAAGAAAATTGAAGATAATGATAAAAAAGTGGAAACATACAACTCCCGAGTTGATCAGATACCGGGGGCACCCCGATCCTAAAGGGTTTGGATTCGAAAAAGTTCGTGCAGAAGCCTTTTCCTCAGAGTGCGGCTCCGATGCCCATTCCTAAGAAGTTCCGTATGTCGGATATACCTAAATACAATGGGACCACCGATCCTAATGAACACATCACTTCATACACGTGCGGAATAAAGGGAAATGACTTAGAAGACGATGAGATCGAGCCAGTTTTGTTGAAAAAAATTGGGAAAACTTTGTCAAAGGGAGCAATGATTTGGTATCACAACCTCCCATCAAATTCCATCAACTCATTTGCCATGTTAGCAGATTCTTTCGTGAAGGCACACGCCGGGGCCATAAAGGTCGCAACAAGAAAATCGAACGTTTTCAAGATAAGACAAAGGGATAACGAAATGTTGAGGGAGTTCGTATCTCGATTTCAAATGGAACGCATGGAGTTGCCACCGGTCACAGATGATTGGGACGTTCAAGCATTCACCCAAGGGTTGAACGAGTGGAGTTCGATAGCATCACGACAGTTGAAACAAAATTTGGTCGAGTATCCAGCTGTAACTTGGGCAGATGTGCACAATCGATATCAATCGAAGATCAGGGTCGAGGACGACCAATTAGGAGCCCCTTCCGATTCAGTACATCAAACAGGTTGGCAGTTAAAACCCCGAGAGACGTCGACAGGGAGCCAAGGTCGAACAGAGAACGATATTAACCATATACCGCGGATCGAAGGAACAATGGTTCAGGACGCAATCCCTCCCGGAATGATCGAAGAAGCGATCAAGGGCAGAATTCTCGGGGACTTATGAGCAAAAGTGGTTTTGATAAGCATGCCGATCCCGTGGAGGCACCTCAGTTATCGGAGTACAACTTTAGCATCGACGCATCGGGCATTGTATCGGCAATCGGAAGGATCAAAGATACTAGGTGGCCCAGACCCATACAGATCGATCCTTCCCAAATAAACCCAAATTTGGTGTGCAAGTATCATGGCATGCATGGTCACAAAACTGAGGATTGCAGGCAACTGAGGGAAGAGGTAGCCCGTCTATTCAATGAGGGTCACTTTGAGAGTTCCTCAGTGATCGAGCTAAGAAACATTTCAGAGAAAGGGACGCCAACAAGAAAAATGAACAGGAGGAACCCCAACATGTTATTCATATGATCGTCGGTGGGGTCGATGTACCACAAGGGCCCATATTCAAACGCACTAAGGTGTCAATCACTAAGGAAAAACGAACCCGAGATTATGTGCCTGACGGCTCCTTATCATTCAACGACGAAGAAGCAGAAGGCATTTTTCAGCCACACAACGACGCTCTGGTAATTTCTATCTTATTAAATAAAGTTCAAGTTAAGCGTGTTTTAGTGGATCCAGGTAGCTCAGTGAATATCATCCGCTCAGGGTCGTGGAGCAACTCGGCCTACAAGATCAAATTGTGCCCGCAACTCGGGTCTTAAACGGCTTTAACATGGCTAGTGAAACAACTAAATGGGAGATTATTTTACCGGTGAACGTGGCTGGAACCATTCAAGATACCAAATTCCACGTGATCGAGGCGACATGAGGTATAATGCTCTACTTGGAAGGCCTTGGATCCACAACATGAGGGCAATCCCCTCGATTCTCCACCAAATGATGAAATTTCCGATGACAGACGGTGTAAAAATAGTATATGGGGAGCAGCATGCCGTAAAGGAAATGTTTGCAGTCGATGAGGTAACACTGATATCAACGCTATCAACTTCGGAAAGGTCAAGCATCAAAGGTAAACAGGAAGCCAAATAGCAATCACAGCCACCAGCCTCGACCGAATCAGGAAAGCAAGAGATAGAAGAAGAATAGGAGGATTTTCTGACCCCTCGAACCTTTATTGTTCCCAAAGACTCCGATGCCACCAAATCAACGGTCGAAGAGCTGGAATAGGTTATACTAATCAAGTACCTGCCCGAGCGAAAGGTATACCTGGGAATGGGGTTAACCCCCGAACTCAGAAAAAAGCTTATTCAATTTCTTATCAATAACATGGATTGTTTTGCTTGGTCCCATTTAAACATGACAGGGATCCCACCGGAGATAACAACGCATCGGCTAAGCCTTGACCCCAGGTTCAAACCGGTGAAACAAAAAAGAAGGCCCCAGTCCGAGGTAAAACACGCATTCATAAAGGACGAGGTAACTAAACTTCTCAAAATAGGGTCGATTCAGGAGGTAAAATATCCCGAATGGCTAGCCAATGTAGTCATAGTCCCAAAAAATGGGAACAAACTTAGAACGTGTGTAGACTATAAGGATTTAAACAAGGCATGCCCCAAAGATTCTTTTCCACTGCCTAACATCGATCGCATGATCACGCCACGGCTGGCCACGAGATCCTTACCTTTCTCGATGCCTATTCCGGGTATAACCAAATTGAAATAAACCCGGAAAACCAGGAAAAGACTTCATTTATCACCAAGTATGGAACATATTGCTATAACGTAATGCCCTTCGGGCTAAAAAATGCTGGAGCTACTTACCAACGCCTAGTAAATAAGCTGTTCGAAAAACAAATAGGTAAGTCAATGGAAGTTTATATTGATGACATGCTAGTTAAGTCCCTGCAAGACCATTTGGTTCATTTGCAGGAAACGTTCGAGATTTTGAGGAAATATAACATGAAGCTTAACCCCGAGAAATGTGCCTTCAGGGTCGGTTCGGGCAAATTCCTGGGCTCTATGGTGTCGAACCGGGGGATCGAGATCAACCCCGATAAAATCAAGGCCATCGAAGACATCACCGTCGTGGACAGTGTAAAGGCCGTGCAGAGGCTAACTGGACGGATAGCTGCTCTAGGTTGATTCATCTCGAGGTCGTCGGATCGAAGCCACATATTTTTCTCTTTGCTCAAAAAGAAAAATGATTTCACTTGGACCCCGGAGTGCCAACAAGCATTAGAGGAATTAAAGCGATACCTATCGAGCCCACCACTGCTTCACACTCTGAAGGCAGATGAGAAACTCTACTTGTACTTGGCAGTATCGGAAATCGTGGTAGGTGGTGTCCTAGTTCGGGAAGAGTAAGGTACGCAATTTCCCGTTTATTATGTAAGTCGAACCTTAGGAGAAGCAGAAACTAGGTATCCACACTTAGAGAAATTGGCACTTGCACTGATAAGCGCTTCTAGAAAGTTAAAACCATACTTTCAATATCACCCCATATGTGTATTGCCCACTTACCCACTTTGTAATATTTTACACAAGACCGAACTATCAGGCCGATTGGCCAAATGGGCCGTCGAACTCAGTGGGTACGATATCGAGTATCAACCTCGAACGGCTATCAAGTCCCAAATTTTGGTGGACTTCATGGCCGATTTCACGCCAACCCTCATACCCGAAGTTGAAAAAGAACTTTTGTTAAAATCAGGCACATCATCCGGGGTGTGGACCCTTTTCACAGACGGTGCTTCGATTGTGAAGGGGTCCGGGTTAGGCATCATTCTGAAGCCGCCCACGGGTAGCACTATTAGGCAGTCTATCAA